ATATAATAGCTTTGGTTTGAGGGATTCGGGCACATTTTCGGGTGTGTCAGAATTCAAACTGAGGAAATGATAATCTTTTCAAAAGAAAATTTAATTTCTAAAAAGATTTTCACCATGTAAAGGGAGTGCTATGCGTACAAGCATCCGAGCTCAAGTAAGTGGTTCCCAAAATACTCATACCCATATGTTTATGATTAGTATGCCTGATATCCGAGTTGCATGCTAGAATATGGCTAAGGATACCTTCAGGAATCATATGATAGAATTTCCTGATTTGTGTGATGCCTTATAGCCTAAGACGATTGGGTTTTATGTGTTACTTAGGATAGATGTCAACTCAGTTATTTTCTAAGTGTATGCTTAAAAAGTTGTATACTATTAGGTTCATATAGCCCTAGAATGATCGGTTCAACCTCATTTCATGTTCCATGTTTGGTAGTGGATTTTGGGTAGATTCATTATTCGACAATCTATGTGATCCTATTTTGTGTACAACTTGCATGCATAAGGAAACCAACAGTGTTGATTGAGGTTCTCGGTATTATAGGATAGTTGAGATGAGAATGTTGGATTAGGTGTCTATGCCCATAACTATATTTGGTGTGTACTTGAATGGATAGTAGCATAGTCATTTTGGGTTGCCTTCACACTAGCAACTAGACATGATGATTAATTAAGGAAGAGGTTGATTTTATTATTTGTAATAATAAATTCATGTATAAAATGATTTATTGATATGTTATTTAAATAATATATTAATTAGAAATCATGTTGTTTAATTAATAGTTATTCAGAAATTAATTTTGAATTAATTTTGGGATTAAATGAATTAATTAAAAGTTCAGGGGCTGGTTTGCAATTAATTAATAGTTGTGGTTTAGGCTCTTGGATCACCCTAAGTAGGGTTGGCCGAAAATCTTAGGGAGGCTCTAAGGATTTTCGTCCATGGCCTAAGGAAGGGAGATCCATGGGCTGCTTAGGCCCTAAGCTGAAAATTCTGGTTTCCACCTTAAAACCCTAGCCTTGGGACTAAGCAACCTACACTATAAAAATGAGCATCACCCCTTAAGATTTTGATCATCCTAAGAAACCCTAGAAGAGTCAAAATTTCGAGCAACTATCTCTTCTCTAGTTTTCTCATAATCATCCTCTTGCTTTGGTGTGTTTGTGTGTTACATTTGTGGCACTTGTTCTCAAAGTTAACATCTTCAAGGAATCTATTGTTAATACTACATAACAATAAAGGTAATTATCTAAACCCTAGTTTTATGATAATTTCGATAATCATACATGCCTCTTAGGGTTTCTAGTTTTTGTGTTCAATGCTTGTATGTCTAATAGAGAAAACCTAGATCCAAATTATTAGGATTGCATGCACATATAGGATTCTTTGTATGATCAAAACCCATCAGTGGTATCAGAGCTATTGGTTTTTGTTTTCAATTACATTTTATGTAATTGATTGAAATTGACAAAATTAGGGTTTGTGGCAATTAAACCCTAGGCCTTGTGATTTTCGCAATTAGGGTTTCATAACCCTGTTTTTTCGAAAATTGTTAAGGCTTTTTTAAACCCTTTCCGTTGTCCTCCATATTTTCGAGATCTAGGGTTTCCTAACCCTAGGGTTTTTGAAAATTAGGAAAGGTTGAAAGCCTTGCCTTCCACTCCAACTCCCAGATTTCGAAAATCAAGGATTTGATAGGGTTGTTATTTTTGGTAATTATCTTCCAAATTGTTTTACTAGATGATTATAAAATCTTATAAATCCCTCCCATATTTTCGAAATTAGGGGATAAGGGATTAGGTTAAATTAATTTATTTAATTTAATGGATAATCCTTATTTGATTTAATAAATTAATTAAAGGTTTAATTAATAGATAATTATTAAATCAACGTTTTTAAATTTTAAAATTTGAATTAAAATTGGTTTTAATTTTCAAAATTTAAATAAATTTAAAAACCCTAGTATTTTGAAATGTTTAAAATACACCCTTATACTATATGTAATATTAAAAGCTTAAATATTTACTATACGTATAAGACAAGTCAGTCAAACCACTAGTACGCCTCATTCACGAAGCCGATCTACAAGGTGGGTATAAGGAAACTGAGTATAAAATGGTAGTTAAATGGGTGTACACTCTCACCCACCGCTTCCTTGATTGGTGGAGGGTCGTTAGCCGAACAACTTTGATAGGACACTTAATTCTCATTAATAATTATAATGGAATAAATAAAGTAACTAAATGTTTTTATTAAACTCTCAATCTTAGTTACTTTAGAAAAATGTGAATTTGATGCTAATCCATGAACATTGCACTTTATAAAAGTCGTTAGTGGAGCGTGTGTGGTTAACCCACACACTATTATAGACTAATAAAGGGTGGAAATGGATGTCTCATAAATTATCATTGATTAATGGAGTGTGTGTGATTAACCAGCACATTAATTAGGTGATAAATGGAATCGAGAGTACCAAGCTAATTTCATGGTTATTCACACATTGTTTGTGATCCTCCGTATCATAGTCACAAATGGAAAGGGCATAATCGAGATTAAACATGACATTGAATACTTCAATGAATCTCAAAAGATCTAAGAATTTCATTTAAACCAAATTCGTACAAAATTTCGTTTTTCATGGTGAAATTGGTAAATCGTCATTTACCTACCTTTAAATAATTTGCAATTAGATTACGACATCCCTCTTCTGAATTGTGAACTATTTAGTTGGATCCCAGCCTTAATATTTCATTTGGGTGTTATATTGAGGATTTCATTATCTAATCAAAACTTATTCTTCTTTTCAGATGTCAACTTCCAACAACGCTTCTGGTTCCTCCAACGACAACTCCGACCACTTCTCGCTCTTGAGCATCTGCTCAAAAGTCACGTTTGATGGTACCAATAATAATGATTGGATATGCAACCTCAAGATGGCTTTGCGCTTCGAGGACAAGGAATATGTTCTCGAAAAAGAGCTGAACGAGATCGATGAAACTAATGCTACTCCAGAAGAAATAGTTGAGTATAGGCGAAACTGCAACGATGCGACCAACATGTCATGCATCATGGTTTCCATTATGACTCCGGAGCTACAACGGTTCTATGAGGACTATTGGTCATATGAGATGAATAAGGACTTGATGGAAAAGTACCATCAACGAGCTCGTCAAGAAAGATACGAGATAGTCAAGTCCCTCATTACCAACAAGATGAAGGACAGAGAGTCTATAACGACCCACTTGCAACGCATGCAACGTTATGTGGATCGTCTGTTGAAGCTCAATGTGAACTTCGATGAGGAATTGGCTATTGCCATAGTCTTGCACTCATTGCCTAGCTGTTATGATCAGTTCGTTATGACTTATCATCTGAACAAGGAGTAAACCACATTGAGTCAACTCCAAAGCTTGCTGAGAACCGTCGAAAGTGGAATGAAGGGAAAGAGTATTCCCTCCACTCCTGTTGCTGCTGATCCCATCTTGTCCATTGGGTAAGGGAAGGGGAAGAAGAGGAAAGCTCTCTCCAAAACAGAACTGGAAGGGAAAGTCTCAAGTCGGGTCGTCAAGCAATGGCTGTAAAGGAAAATCTAGTTTTGAAGCTCCCACCCCCCCCCACCTCTGACCTAAAAGAGGCTACTTGATTCTACTTCCATGACAAGGGGCATTGGAAACGAAGCTGCCCCAAATACTTGCAAGATATAAAGGATGGCAAGGTTAAGCCAACCTCAGCAGGTATTTACACTATTCTATATAAAAACTCATCATATTCGAATTCTTGGGTCCTTGATACAGGATGTAGTTTTCACATTTGTTCTGACTTTCAGGGGCTAAGAAGAAGTGAGGATGTGGAGCATGGGAAGATGAACCTGATTATAGGCAATAGGAGATCGTCACTTGTTACCAAGATTGGTGTTTATTCTTTAGTGCTTAGTAGTGGGTTGAGTTTAGATTTAAACAATTATTGTTACCCTTCAGAGATGATGAGGAATATTATTTCTTTTCATGGTGTATATAGACAAGGTTTTAGATATTCTTTTAATAATCAGAATGATTCTATTTATGCTTATTATAGTGGTGTCTTTTATTTTGCAGCATTACCTTATGATGGCGTGTATGAAACTGTGATGGTTGTAGACAATTTAGGTAATAGTGTTTTACATATTGATTCGTCTAATGGTTTAGACAAAGCATGCTTGTGGCATTGTCATCTTGGACATGTCAACAAGAAGCGCATTGCCCAACTCCAAAAGGATGGAGTGTTGGAATCATTTGACTTAAGGTCAGATGATACATGCGTGTCTTGTTTTACTTGGAAAGATAACTAAATCACCTTTCACTGGTTCTTGTGAAAGAGGTGAAGGATTGTTGCATCTCATACACACAGATGTGTGTGGACCCTTCAGATCCACCAAAAGGGATGTAAATCAATTCTATGTCACTACTAGAAAAACAACCTTTTACGACGCGCAATTTACGACACGCACTGATTTATGTTACGCAAAAGAGAGCGTCCTTAAAATAGCGTCATCTCTTCAAAAATTTTAAGGATTTACGTAACGCATTATTGCGTGCCCTTAATTTAGTGTCTCAAGAAAAAAAAATTAAAAACACGGAGGGCGCTTTATCTTAAACGCGCGTCGTCTGTACCTGTCGCTTTATAATTTTAATGAAACGCGCGTTTAATAGACCAGTGGGGAAACGCAATCCCTGAAATTTTCAAAACCCGCCTCGTTCTTTCTACATTTTATCTATCTTTCATCATCGCAATCGACTCTCCTCTCTGATACTCTCTCCTCTAGATCTCCCTTCATTTTCTATCTCCCGTCTCCCTGTAAACCCTAAGCCGTCGCCACCTCCCTTCTCTCTAGCACGTGCTAGGGTTTTATTTTCTTCCAGGCTTCCGTTTCTCTGGAACTGGCGTTTTTTTTTTACTTTTTTCGATTTCTTTGGAACTGGCGTTTCACTTGGCGTTTCCTTTCAGTAAGTCGTTAACCATGGCTTTGCAGATTGCGAGACGTTTCCTCCGAATCCACACAGCGGATGAGGTATTCACAGCCACCTTCAGGAACCCTACCAACAGGCTTTTCTCGCCGACCGATCGGAGAAATTCTTCTAGCTCCTCCGATCTCATTCGCGCCACTCTCTTCCCCGGCGACGGTATTGGTCCCGAGATCGCAACCTCTGTCAAACAGGTTCAATTCCGCCTTCTTTATACTCAATATATTGCTAAAACCTGATCCTTGTTTGTTTAACACAGTTTTGTTATTCTTATGTTGTTGTTTTCTTTCATTTTTAGGTTTTTGTTGCATAGTTTGAGGTTTAAGAATTTCGTATTATCATTCTACTGTTTAGTTGGTATAGATTCAATTTAGAATAGTAATCGCTAATCAAATTATGTATGTATGTTGAATTTGCTTTTCTCATTATGCAGATATTTAATGATGCAGAAATCCCAATTGAATGGGAAGAACATTATGTAGGGACAGAAGTAGATCCCAGAACCCAAAGCTTTGTCACATGGGAAAGTCTAGAATCTGTAAGAAGAAACAAGGTTGGATTAAAAGGTCCCATGGCTACACCAATTGTAAAAGGTCATCGTTCCTTGAATCTCACTTTAAGAAAAGAACTAAACCTGTATGCAAATGTCAGAACATGTTACAGTCTACCTGGTCACAAAACTCGATATGATGATGTGAATCTCATCACAATCCGTGAAAAAACAGAAGGAGAATACAGTGGTCTTGAACATCAAGTAAGTTTATATCATCTTCATATAGATTCATCATTCATATCATACATGATACATTCAAATCAATGTTATGCAAATTCTGATCTTTCTACAGGTTGTCAGGGGAGTTGTTGAAAGTCTTAAAATCATAACACGTCATGCAAGTTTAAGAGTGGCTGAATATGCTTTTCATTATACTAAAGCTCATGGTAGAAAAAGAGTTTCTGCTATACACAAAGCTAACATCATGCAGAAAACTGATGGCTTATTTCTAAAGGTATTAAATTTACATAGCTTTTACCATGTTTCATACTTTCATTACACTAAATTTTAATATTTACGATTTGATCTCACAATTAAAAATCTGATCTTTTTCCCTAAAACATTAAGTGTGGAAGGAGAGACAGAGAAAGGAGGTTCACCGATGGGAGTGCCAGAAGAACCAAAGCATCAAATCTGAAGCATATGGAAAATGCATCAAATTTGAAGCATATGGTGATGCAGTGAGGTTCTATACTGGTGCCATGCCAATATTTAAGGTTATTTGATCAACTTTTCATTCTTTCGTGTTTTCTCATATCATATGCTTATAAACCCATGCAATTCATTTATATTTTTGCTCTGTATGTTGAACTTTCACCAGGCATATAGGGACTCCTCATTGCAGGATTGTAAGAAAGCATCTGAAGAAGTAATTCCAGTTATCATTAATAAGCTTTAGGTATATTCATGGTTATTTTATTTCTGATAATATTATTCAGATCCTTATATAGTCGTTTCGCATATATGTCTTTTAGGATAAGGCTTCTTCTGAATCTGAATGAATACAAGCAGGAGCGGAGGCTGTAATGCTTCTTAAGCAGTTAGATTTTCCCGTATGTAACTCGTGATGTCCGATCATTAGCCTACCCCTAGTGTACCTGAAACAGATCCATCTGAGAAACAGTGTTTGCCACAGTGCAACTATATACGCTAACGCACTTATGCATGCTGGAACAACAGTGGATACATTCTTGAGGGAGAATCTGGTAATTTCACTATATCATATCTACATACTTCATCATTTTACTACTATAATAGCAATGTATGTACATTTTCTTTACACATATTTGTAACTGACTTACAAATCTTTACTCATAATAGAAACAAGGCAATCCCTAAAAAGAACATCTGTTGCTTATATTTGTAGCAAGATTTATGAGCAATTTGTAAATGTTTTATGTTTGGATACGATTTCAGGATTAGCTAAGCAGGGCGACAAATTGGGCTAAGTTCAGCGCGACAGCTGGACTAGGTGTTATCCATGGAGGCCATTTACAGCAAGGAAGATCACTAATGGCACCTTACCTTCCACTAATGAGCAATTTGTAAATGTTTTGCTTCAAGTTGTAAATTATTAAGATGCAGAGGTGATAAATCATTATCTGAACTAAATTGGATGAAAGTGAAGTTGCTGGAGCTCTTGCAAGAATTTTACAAGTGCTCAAGCGAATCTATCATATGTTCTTTCATTATTTTATGAAGTAGTGCAAGTTCTATTAAGAGGAAACCCACATAATTCCTTCTTTCCTTTGTATGATGTGTCTTCAAAGGTCTGAAACTGGGAGCCTGTTGGGATTCTTCCTTCCAGCTGATTGTATGAGAGATTAAAGGCGGAAAGGAATAAAGAGTCGTGAGCAATGATGGGATCTCTCCAGTTTGTTTGTTGGATGACATGTCCAATGATTCAAGCTGACTCAAATTCCCAATAGTTGGTGGGATAGGGCCTGTGAAGTCATTATTTGATATGTTGAGCATATACAGAGTAGTGAGTCTCCTAATTGTGGCTGGTATTTCTCCTGAAAAATTGTTACTTGAGATATCAATGGATGTGAAGATTGTCAGGATTTTCACCAGCTCCAACTCAAGTCCTTTGATTGTTACTGTGACAGTATCCTGCTAGTACAAGTTATTACGTGACAGCCTTAGGAGTACTAATGTTGAAGTTGTCTAACATGGCGCTTGTTTAGGCCTAGGGTTAGCAGCTCTAGGGACAGCAGATGAAGACATTTATGATGAAATAAAAAGCGTCCTCTACACAGACAGTGTTGTTGCAGGTATCAGCATGGGGTTGTTGATGGTGCGGACCGCTAGTGAGAAGGCGGCTGAGATGTTTGTGTATCCTCATGAGACACAACATGAAAAGATCATAAGGTGAATTAAGAATTTACAATTAACACCTTTTAATATTATGTTAAATAGTAGTTAGTTATGACATGATTTTGGATTTGTTTAATGTTAGGGGTTGGCATTGGGGATTGCACTTATTGTTTATGGAAGAGAGGTGGAAGTGGATACTTTGATTGAACAGATGACCCGTGATCAGGAAGCCAAGGTTAGGGTTTTATAATAATAAAATCTAGTCTTTATTACCAATATAGATATAGAAGCCTCCAGTTTATAGTTTGGCCCCTCCCCTCCATTGAACTCTTCTATCATTTCATTTCCCTCCCCTTTGATTATTAATAATACCCAAAAACTTCTTGATGGTCTGTATAAATTCCACCGATTTCTCCACTTTATATAAAATGTAAGAAATACACATGCCAACTTTAATCCATTTAAATCTCATAAACCATCTCAAAACTTTTTTAAGGTTTGTTTATTTTATAATTTTTTTTAGTAACTGAGAATTGGCAATAACTCTTTACAGAAAGGAGTGGTTGTTTTTTATGCTACTCAATTTGATGGAATCCAAAAAAAGCTTTCAGAATTCAACAATGCTTTAGGCTCTGACCCGGTAAGTTGTATCTTTTTTTTCATTAGATTAGATTAGATGAAATCTTTAAATGTTGGATCTTTAGAGGCTTGGCTTTTTCTTCACTCTCTGTCTGTGTGACAAGCATCATAATATTTTCCTATACACAAAATAGAAAGAAAATATTATAAAGTTAGATTTTTATTTCCATTTTTGGGTTTGTATTTTAGGACCAACAGGGCTTATCACTCAGTGGTTTTCCATCTATGGTTGCAAAATCATCGTGTTGAGGTATCATTTTTTTATTTTTTTTTTGTCCGAATATTATAATGAAAAACACTACTGAATTCCATTTTGGCGAGGTTGTAGATTTTTGATGCATTTGCTAGTTGTTATTCATCTCCAAACAAGAATGTCCAAATATCTTATTCTACATTGGTGCTCAAGTAAGTAAATTTTCCATTTGGATTTGGATTTTTTTTTCTTTTTAAGATTTTGAAAATTATGAAAAATTGATGATCCACTTATTTTGAGCGTTACAGTTATGTCGTGCTATTGATTGAAAAGAAGGATGAATAAGGTCAATCTCATGTTCTTTCAGCAGCTTTAGAGGTAACATACACATAAATCTTTTTTTTAATACTTAAATTAGAAAATTAACAAGAGCAAATTTGTAAAATGTTTTTTTTCCTACAGATTGCAGAAGGGGAGACTTCAGAAGTTGATGCGAAATACCGAGGTATGTTAAATTTGAATGAAATAAATAAGATATTTAAAAATATGTGTGTATTATGGTATGGTGGTTTATATTTATGATAGATTGGTACTTTAAAATGTTAGCGAGGTGGGTTATGACTTTCAAGATCTATTGGAGATAGAGATGTTGGGGAGTTCAGTATTCCAGTTCCTCATGTCAAACAAGCGAAGGTTAGTTTTGTAATTAAACTCAGTTTATTTCTCTTTTTATTAACAACTTTTATTTATTCATGATCTTCATCCATCTTCTGCTGGTAGGCGGCTTGTAATTTCAAGTGATGGAGTCTGGGATGCTCTTTCCGGTGGACAGCAGTCCAGTACAGTACACCAGGTCATAACAAACTAATGATATGGAGGATTTTTTTGACATGATATGTGAAACAAGAAGGTGCCCCTTTATAGCAATGTAGTATTAGTTATATAGTTAGGGAAAACCTCTTAATAACAATGTACAATTAGATCCCTTTAATATCAATGTATTACAATTTTTTGACATGATGTTATTAGATGAAATTTATTGTTTTGGTATATATATTTTTTCTATATTTTTGTATTATGCGTAAAAGAGTATCGTAAAGGCACGTAGTATATGCATATTGTAAATGGTTGCTGAAGTTTATGGCACGCAAATGTGTGTCATCTTCATTTATGACAGGGGTTATAATGATACGCAATGCGTGTCCTAAACGCGTGTCGTAAGGTTACAACACACAAATGCGTGTCGTCTTCGTTTATGATAGGGCCTTTCTTGATACGCATTGCGTGTCGTAAATGAGCGTCGTAAATGCGCGTCGTCTATAGACGACGCGCAAAAGCGTGTCGTCTCTCGTTATGACAGGGCCTTTCTTGACACGCATTTGCGCGTCGTCTGAGCGTTTTACGACACGCATTGCGCGTCGTAAAAGGTTGTTTTTCAAGTAGTGTGTGTCTTTTACTAATGATTATAGCAGATATGGATATATCTACTTAATCAAGTATAAGTCAGAGGTCTTTGAAAAGTTCAAAGAGTTCAAACATGAAGTCGAGAATCAATTAGGCAGGAAGATCAAGATGCTCAGATCTGATAGAGGTGGTGAGTATCTTAGTATCGAGTTCCACAACTACCTCAAGGAATGTGGAATTGTTTCACAATTGACACCTCCTAGGACACCACAACTTAATGGTGTGGCTGAGAGGCGTAATCGAACCTTGTTGGACGTGGTTCATTCCATCATGAGTTGATCTTCACTTCCAATCTCATTCTGGGGGTATTCCTTAGAGACTGCCGCCCATATTATTAATCGAGTCCCAACAAAGAATGTTGCCAAAACACCTCACGAGATGTGGACAGGGAAGGTTCCCTCATTAGCACATATTAAGGTTTGGGGTTGTGAAGCTTTTGTTAGACGAGAGACTCACGACAAGCTTGAACCTCATAGTGAGAGATGTATTTTCATCGACTACCCACAAAAGACTTTTGGATACTTGTTATACAGACCTAGTGAAAACGTGGTCTTTGTAGCACGAAGGGGAGTATTTTGCGAGAGAGAGCTCGTATGCAAAGAGGAAACTGGGAGTACATATGATCTTGAAGAAATTCAAGAGTCAAGCGATGAGGGAATCTCTAACACTAGCGCTCAACCCAAGGAAGAAATTCATGTTGAATTAATTGACGAGTCATTACCTCTTAGACGTTCCAACAGAGTTAGAATGACACCAGAGTTTTATAGATTCCATATTACTACAGATGCTGATATGTTTATCAGTGATAATACACTGATAAATTTGGATGAGCCTTCTAACTACAAGGAAGCCATGACGGGCCCTGAGTCTGCCAAGTGGAAAGAGGCAATGGACAGCGAGATCAAGTCCATGTATGACAACCAAGTTTGGAATTTGGATTGACAGTGTACCAGGTCGTAAGACAGTTGGGTGCAAATGGATCTTCAAGAAGAAGACCGACATGGATGTAAAGGTACACACTTTCAAGGAATGACTAGTTGCGAAGGGATTTACTCAAACCCCATGGGTTGACTATGACGAGACCTTCTCGCCAGTGGCTAAGATTAGCCATAGTTGCGTTTCATTATTATGAAATATGGCAGATGGATGTCAAAACCGCTTTCCTTAATGTAAACTTGGCTGAGGATGTTTACATGAGTCAGCCAGAAGGTTTTGTGGATGCTAAATACCCCAATAGAGTGTGTAAGCTTGAGAAATCAATATATGGATTGAAACAAGCTTCTCGCAGATAGAATCTTTGCTTTGACGAGAAGGCTAAAGAGGTTGGTTTCTCTCGAAGTAAGTATAAATCTTGTGTATATGTCAAAGCTATTGGGAGTATAGTCACCTTCCTGGTATTGTATGTTGATGGCATACTACTCATAGGAAACGACAATCCAACTTTGCAAGAGGTTAAGTCCTGGCTTGGAAGGTGTTTCACTATAAAGGATCTAGGAGAGGCTGCTTATATTCTAGGAATAAGGATTTTGAGAAATAGGAGTAGAAGTCTAATTGGACTTAGTCAAAGCACGTATTTGGATAAGGTGCTAAAGTGTTTTAGCATGGAAAATTCAAAAAAAAATGAGAGTTGCCTATCCAAAGTAATACCAAGTTGAGTAAGACTCAGAGTCCGAGTACCAATACAGAGATAGCGAAAATGAGTCAAGTTCCATATGCTTTCGCCGTTGGATCGATCATGTATGTTATGACATGTACTTGCCCTAACGTGGTTTTTGCTTTTAGCATGGTTAGTCGATATCAGGAAAATCCGAGTAAAGCTCATTGGATAGCGGTAAGGAACATTCTTAAGTATCTGCGATGAACTAAGGATTGGGTCCTTGTGCTTGGTGGCAATGATGACTTGAGAGTTACTGGGTATAGCGACGCCAGCTTTCAGACAGACAGAGACAACTTTCGTTCTCAATATGGCTGGGTGTTTACCTTTAACGGAGGAGCTGTGAATTTGAAAAGTTCTAACCAGGAGACCGTAGCTGATTCTACATGTGAATCAGAGTATATAGCTGCGAGCGAAGCGTCAAAGGAGGCTATATGTTTGAAGAACTTCAGTGGAGACCTTGGAGTTGTGCCATCCATTAAAGAGCCGATGGAGATTTTCTGCGATAATGAAGGAGCGGTTGCCTTGACCAAGGAACCAATAAATCATGGCAGATCTAGACATATCAACAGAAAATATCACTTTATCAGACATCGAGTAGAAGAAGGACACCTCGTCGTAAAGAGGGCATCATCTGAAAATAATCCAGCAGATCCCCTCACAAAGGGTCTGAGTAGGGTTAAGCACGTTCAGCATGCGAGGAGCATTGGTCTGAAGGATGATATTAGTTTTAGTGATTAGATAGATATTTAGAAACTTGTAACAAATAAATGTAATTGACATTTGATGATTAAATAATGGAGATTTATTTATGAGTATTATTTACTATCTTTTGTCAATTGTTTATCATTATGTTTCATTTTGGATGTTTTACTTCCCGAATAATTATATTATTGAAATATTCACAGTCGATCATACTTTGGAAGTAAGTAGTGAATTAGGATTGTGATGAATTGGGTTGTATATTGTAAGGGATTAGACATAGCAATGGTTTGCTGCAATATTCATGAGTACTTTTGAAATAGAGATTTATGTATTGGATTAAACCCACACTCAGTGAATTACTTCATGGAATTTATCATGAGTAATTCTGAGACGATAATATCGTATAATCTTTAAACGGAGATATATGAGTTGTTGTTTATGACTTAGTTGTGCATTGATAATGCGTAAACGCATCAGTAACTTCGGTGTAATAAAACGTATTGGTGTGCATGATTTGATGAGTAAATAGTGCAAGCATATAATTCAAAGTTTATCTGTTCCTTTTTCCCTAACGGGAAAAGCGATATCTTGGGCCCCTCGATGATTTGGTGTTGACTTGTGTGTCGGGCCCGGTCAGGACTTAATTGATGTGTTCAATTGTAGTTCCTTGTCATTACAAATCAGAAATCGGGAAAGAAACTTTTGGAAAATGTGAATGATTATCTTCCATGTCATTTGTCCACATGATATCTTAAAGAATGGAGGATTATATGATCACTTATCTTAGGACACATTACTGACTAGGTCAGAGTTCCACAGCGGCTTTGAGATCTACAATTTGCTGGTAAATTTTGAAGTTATACTTGCAATTATAGTTATTATAGTTATCCAAGTGGGAGACTGTTGGATTAGGTGTCTAAGACCATAATTATATTTGGTATGTACTTGAATTCATAGTAGCATAGTCCTTTTGGGTTGCCTTCACACTAGCAACTAGACAGAATGATTAATTGAGGAAGAGCTTGAATTTATTATTTGGAATAATAAATTCGTGTATAAAATGATTTACTGATATGTTATGAAAATAATATATTAATCAGAAATCATGTTGTTTGATTAATATTTAATCAGAAATTATTTTTGAATTAATTTTGGGATTAAAGGAATTAATTAAAAGTTCAGGGGCTGTTTTGCAATTAATTAAGAGTTGTGGTTTGGGCTCTTGTATCACCCTAAGTAGGTTTGGCCAAAAATCTTAGGGAGGCCCTAAGGATATTCGTCCATGGCCTAAGGAAGGGAGATCCATGGGCTGCTTAGGCCCTAAGCTGGAAATTAGGGTTTCCACCTTAAAACCCTAACTTTGGGACTAAGCAACCTAAACTATAAAAAGGAGAATCACTGCTTAAGATTTCGATCATCCTAAGAAACCCTAGAAGAGGTGTTACATTTGTGGCACTTGTTCTCAAAGTCAAGATCTTCAAGGAATCTATTGTCATTACTACATAAAAATAAAGGTAAATATCTAAACCCTAGTTTTATGATAATTTTGATAATCATACATGCCTCTTAAGGTTTCTAGTTTTTGTGTTCAATGCTTGTATGGCTAATAGAGAAAACCTAGATCCAAATTATTAGGGTTGCATGCACACATATGATTGTTTGTATCCTCAAAACCCATCAGAGAATTCCTAGGAGTCTCTAGGACATGTCACACTGAGATCTGTATGTTGTTTATTATAGGGTTGGTGCATATGGATTTAGTGTGGTGACTTAGAGGGTTCCGGATGGTTCTTGAGGAAAGTGCAGATAGGTGTGGAAGGTAGTATTGGGCTCGTACTGCTGAAAGCACATGATTTGTACCTGAGACAAGAACGATCTTGGAACTTCTAAGAGTCTTGTAGAGAGGAAGTTTCCTCGATATTTTTTTGATCATTTGTATGTTTGTATTTCAGACAGTTTTGATCATGGTGTCCACTCGAGGAGGATCTTCTAGATTTGGTTCGGGTGTTGGTGCCAAACTCATTGATGAGTGGTTGCGCGAGTTT